TAGTTTTTCATAGATTCCATTTCTCTGATGAAATTCCCTACCTCTTTTCTCTTTGGCCTTGGATATATTTATAATAGTTGTGTAAAAGCCTGATCTACCATTTCACAATATATGCACCTACCAAATCATCACATTGTATACCTTAAACTTACACATTGTTGTAGTTCGGCTGCATCTTTAAAAAGCTGGAAAAAAACTCTATCCAAAAAAAAAAAAAAAAAGTGCAACACATGAAAACTGGTACAGATTCCTGGTTTTGAGTTTCCCAGAATTTGGGATGATTTTAGGAAGTACAAGAATGCCAAGACCACATGAAATCACCTTGAATAATACAGTGAGAGCATTACTCTCCTTTCAAATCTCCTGATTGCCAAGAAAGCATCAGTTGGGTGCTAGGGTTATCTTACCTCTCTATTATTTGTTAATAAACATTTTTAACAGATAGGAAAAAAGTGCCTGATCTGGTAATTCTAACATCTGGGTGATCCTGGGCTTTGTTTGAACTGACATTATATTATTATTATTATTATTATTATTATTATTTTATCATCATCATTATATCATCATCATGGGCCACATTTTCTAGCTTCTTTTTCATGTATACTAAGTTTTGGCTGTATGCTTGTCACTGTGGATAATATGTTGTAGACAGTGTGGGTTATACTGTCATCTCTTAAGTGGCATTTTGTTCTAGCAGGCAGTTAAATTCCTTGTGAATCTTTTGACCCTGAGGGATTAGTTTTATTCTTTGTTAGGAAAGGTCTATAGTGGTTTAATCCTTAGTTCTAGGACATGGTGGAAACTCTATGGCAGGTCTAGAGTAGCCTTTAGTTTCAGGCTGGTGTAACTTTACTTAGGTGCATAGCAAGGTTTCTCCACTGGCTAGGATGGAATTCCCACATCTCCTATCACGGCATAATTTCTGCTAGGATGGAATTCCTACATCTCCTATCACTGCATAATTTCTTCTATCTCAATTCAGTTCAAAAGAAGAGAGAAAACTTCCTTAAAAAAAAAAAAAGAAGAAGCAACATAGCAATGACACCAAAATCTAGCAAAAAACAGTATTTTTAAAAAAGAAAGAAACAGGAAACGAAACTACAGACCAATCCCACTTATGAGCAGCGATGGAAAATCCTGAATAAAAGATTAACAAAGAATTTAAGTAGCACAATTAAAGAATATTATATCACAATTAAGTGTGGTTACTGACTCAAATGCTAGGATGATTTAATATTAGGTAATCTATGAAATATAATCTGTTACATGAATAGATCCAAGGAAAAATCATTTGCTCATTTCCAGAGATGCCAAGAAAGCATTTGACAAAAGTCATTATTTATTCTTGATTACAAAAGATAAAATTTAGATAGATAGGTACTTCTTAAGCAGAACAAAAGATTCTGAGGTAATACCAAGGTATCCTCTATCTCATTCTCTTTGAATCTTGCAGTTGGACAAGAGAGAAAAAGTAGAACTATAAAAGTTGAAAAGAAAGATGGTTACTAATGGTTATTATTATATAACCAGAAAGTAAACAGAATCATTTAGAAACCATTACTATGGAAAGTAATAAGAGAATTAACCTAGGAACAAAGTTAATAAATAGAAATCGAAAACACATACTAAAAAGAAAATTGAAAACTATATCGGCAGAAAATTCCTTATTTCTAATAGCAAGCAAAAAAGGATGCAAAGAAACCTGGGAAGAGATAAACAACAAGAAATGCATATGGCCTATATAAGGAAAACTATAAAGAAACAAAGGCAAACAAATGGGAAAACATAACATACTCTTAGGTCTGAAGACAACCAATCTCACGTGACTTGATGGAAGTACAAAGTGGCATGTTACTTACAACACCTTGTCAATATCTATGGAAATTACAGATGCATAAACCCCCTGATCCAGCTATTCTAACCCCAGGAATTTACCCTATAGATAGTCCTGCTCCCGTGTGAAGGTATGCATGCATAAGGTTATTCATTGCAGAACTACCTGTAATAGCAAAAGATTGGAGGTTAATATCCATTAGAGTACCGGTCTCTTCTGACATACTCATAAAACAGAATAGGATGCTGCTGTATAAAAGAATAAATATTTCTATGCACTAAAATCCCTCAACTGTTGGCAATATTTATTACTGCTGGGAATGCACATTTTTCTTAGCGGGGGAAAAAATACTGCCAACATTTAAATATAATGACCACATAGAAACAAAACTCTAAATTCTTGGGGGAAAAAATCAGAACAGGGGCTTAATGATCTTATCCCCTGACTGATCTCATTCAAGTCTTATTTTTATGAACATTCAAATGAAAGATTTTATTAATATAAAAGTAGTAAATATTATGTTTAAAATGCAACAATACTCCCAACTTGATCTATAGAATCAATGTAATCCCAATCAAAGTCCAAGCAAGTTATTTTATTAGTATCAACAAACTGATTCTAAAGATTATATGAAAAGGCAAAGACCCAGAACAGCCAACACAATACTGAGGAGAACAAAGTTGGAGGACTGATGCTACCCGACTTCAAGACTTACTATAAAACTACAGACATCAAAGACAGTGTGGTTCTGGTGAAAGAATAAGCAAATAGATTAATGGAACAGAACAGACAGCCCAGAAACAGACTCCCATAAATAGACTTAAAAGATCTTTGGCAAAAGAGTAAAGGCAATACAATGGAGCAAAGACAGTCCCTTCAACAAATGGTGCTGGAACTAGACAGCAACACACACACACACACACACACACACACACACACACACACAAAACCTACCTTATACCTTTCACAAAAAGTAACTGAAAATGGATCAGACCGAATTGTAAAAAATTCAAAACTGTAAAACTCCTAGAGGATAACATAACAAGATGACGTTGAGTATAGTGATGGCTTTTGAGATACAGCACCACAGACAAAATCCATAAAAGAAAGAACTGATAAGCTGGACTTAATTAAAATTGAAAACTTCTGCTCTGCAGAAGACAATACCAAGAGAATCAGAAGACAAGCCACAAAACTGGGTGAAAATATTTGCAAAAGACGGATCTGATAAAGGATACTTGTACAAAATATACAAAGAATTCCTGAAACCCAACAGTAAGAAAACAAATAACCCAATTAAAACTTAGGTTAAAGATCTTAGCAGAGATCACCAGAAAAGATATAGAGATGGAAAACAAGAATATGATAAAATGCCCCATATCATACGCCATCAGGGAAAGGCAAATTAAAACAATGAGCTACCACTACACACCTATCAGAATGTCCAAAATCCAGAACACTGACAACACAAACTGCTGGCAAGGGTGCTGAGGAACAGGACCTCTCACTCACTGTGGAAATGAAAAACGGTACAGCCACTTTGGAAGACAATTTAGCAGTTCCTTACAAAATCAAACAGTTAGTGTATGATTAGCAATTGCACTTCTTGGTATTTACCTAAAGGAGTTCAAAACTTAAGTCCACATGGACCTAGAGTCTGTCATACAGAGCGATGTAAGTCAGAAAGAGAAAAACAAATACCGTATGCTAACACATATATATGGAATCTAAGAAAAAAAAAAAAAAGGTCATGAAAAACCTAGTGGTAAGACGGGAATAAAGACACAGACCTACTAGAGCACGGACATGAGGATATGGGGAGGGGGAGGGGGAGGCCGTGACGAGGTGAGAGAGTGGCACGGACATATATACACTACCAAGCGTAAGGTGGATAGCTAGTGGGAAGCAGCCGCGTAGCACAGGGAGATCAGCTAGGTGGTTTGTGACCACCTAGAGGGGTGGGATAGGGAGGGTGGGAGGGAGGGAGACGCAGGAGGGAAGAGATATGGGAACATGTGTATATGTATAACTGATTCACTTTGTTATAAAGCAGAAACTAACACACCATTGTAAAGCAATTATACTCCAATAAAGATGTTAAACAGCAACAACAACAAAAAAGCTGCACACAGATATTTACAGCAGCTTTATTCAGAACTGCCAAAACCTGGAAGCAACCAAGATGTCCTTTGTTAGGTGAATGGATTAATCAACTGTGGTACATCCAGACAACGGAGAATTATTCATTGCTAAAAAGAAATGTGCTATCAAACCATGAAAAGACACGGAGAAGCCTTAAATAAACAGTACTAAGTGAAAGAAGCCAATCTGAAAAGACTGTGTGATTCTAACTTTATGACATTCTGGAAAGGGCAACACTAGGGAGACAACAGACAGACCAGAGTTTGCGGAAGGCAGGGGTGTGAAGAGGCAGAGCACAGAGGACTTTTAGGGCAATGAAAGAAAAGACACCGTGTAATACTGTGATGATGGATATATGTCATACACTTGTCCAAACACATAGAATGTACAACACCAAGAGTGGACCCTAATGTAAACTAAGGACTTTGGGTGACTAGGATGTCAATGTTGGTCTATCTTTAGTAAAGAACATACCACTTTGGTGAGTGATGTTGACAATGGCGTAGGCTATGCATGGGTGGGGGGGCAGAGGTTTTATGGGAAATCTCTGTACCTCCCTCTCAGTTTGGTTTTAAACCTAAAACTACTCTAAAAAAAAAAACGAAGTCCTTAAAAAGTTTTTCATTTTAATATTACAGATATGCATAAAGTGTAAAGTAAAGCCACCCTCAACTCATCCAGTCTCAATTTCCAAGGTGCTTTTGACCATATATGCTTTCATTTTGATAGGCACAAATAAGTCTCAGTACTCTGCTGACACTCTGCTTTTTGGTTTCTCATCTGTAAGGAGTTTGTATTGATTTTGTGCCATGAGGGAGAAGGAATTAACTCAGAGGATCTATCACAATCTAACGACACTTTCCATTTTTGCTGGTAACGTTATCATTATTTTTACACCTTTAAACATCGATTTTGATTGATCAACTTTAAATAGTACTTCTTGACTCTCTACTGTGTAAAGTGAGGAAACTTACAAATAGGCAAAATTCAACACAATCAAAGATGAAGTCTGAGAAGCATTTACCTTGTTCATAAAGTAGCTTCATATTCAAGTCTTTGCAGGTGACCAGATTGTTGAGCAATGCAACCACACTTTGCATGGTGTTACCCAGAAAGTTCGCCTGATGTTCCTGCAACAGATCACCATTCCATCATAACAGTACAGAAACAGCATTACATCGTAATAAAGACAAATGATCAAACGACCTCCATCCCTGCATTCCTTTACAAGGTTGAATGATTATCTTTTTGCACTTGGGTGAAGCAGACCCCTCTGTGGTAAGGCCCCATCAGTGCATTAGGTGAGCGGGAGGCAGTATAAATCGCTCAGCGCCAGCACTGCCGCATGCAGTCCCCTGCCCGTGCACTGAGGGACAACCACATAGCCCTCTGTGCTTTCAAAGGGCACCAAAGGAGTCAGAGAGATCAGAAATCAAGTACGTGGAACTTAGGAAACCCTACCTGAAACTGATTTTGAGATCACAGAAGAAAAACTTCTTAAAGAAGTATTTCTGCAGTTTGGAGAGTAAACTGCTATTCTCCTTCTTTAGTCTTACACATTGCTGGTTATGTCAGATATGACTTATTGCATCACTGCTTCAGCGTAATAAACTACACTTGGGACCTGAAAAAGTGAATTTTGCTTTCCCTAACACTGTGCATCATACAGCAGGGAGTAACTTTGGCCTTCATTTCTCATTGCAAAGACACAAAAGACACAACGTATTTGTAACTTTTAAGGGATCTTAAAAATAACTTGGGGCTTCCCTGGTGACGCAGTGGTTGAGAATCCACCTGCCAATGCAGGGGACATGGGTTCGAGCCCTGGTCCAGGAAGATCCCACATGCTGCAGAGCAACTAAGTCCGTGCACCACAACTACTGAGCCTGCGCTCTAGAGCCCGCGAGCCACAACTATTGCGCCCGCATCCCGCAACTACTGAAGCCCCCATGCCTAGAGCCCGTGCTCTGCAACAAGAGAAGCCACAGAAATGAGAAGCCCGTGCACCTCAATGAAGAGTAGCCCCCACTCGCCGCAACTAGAGAAAGCCCACGCACAGCAACGAAGACCCAACACAGCCAAAAATAAATAAAATAAAATTTAAAAAATAACTTTAGTTTTGTTTCCTATTCACTCTTCTGAATTTTTTAAAAATTAAACAACTAGCATTGATTGTGACTGAAACTATAAAATTTCAAATAGTATAAAAATAAAGTCTTTAAGCTCCAGGACTAGGGGAGGCAAGCCAGCTGCGTAGAGTATAGAAAGAATGGAGGCACTCTCGCTCAGGACTGTGCCAATGCAAGCACTTGCTGGAAGTGAGTGCTTCTAGGCGGCTAGCTTGTCCCACACTAGCCCTGGCCCCGCCCCTTGGTAACTCTGTTAATAACGAGTCCTATCCTAAAGAGTTATGGGTGTATCAATTTAGTAGACTCCATCCAGACCCTTTCCTATTCATTTTCTCCCTTTCTCTCTCTCTCTCTCACACACACACACACAGAATACATGGTTTGCTCTGTTATCTAAACATAAGTTATATCATAGTTATTAAGTCACTCAACAAATAACTAATGAAGACCTATTATGTACCAGGCACTGTTCTAGGCACCTGAGAGAACAAAACAAGGTTCCCTGTCCTCACGGAAACAGACAACAAACAACAGGCACAGGGACTTCCCTAGTGGTCAAGTGGTTAAGACTCTGTGTTCCCAAAGCAGTGGGCCCAGGTTCGATCTCTGGTCAATCTCTGGTCAGGGAACTAGATCCCGCGTGTCCCAACTAGAGATTCCGCATGCCACAAATAAGACCCGGAGCAGCCAAATAAATAAATACTAAAAAAAAAAAAAAACCAGGCACAGTAAGTAAGTAAACTGGACTACGTGTTAGAAGATAACAAGTGCTATGGTAGAAAAAGAAAAGAGCAGAGCAGGAAAGGTGGGTTGGGAGTTCAGCAGTGAGGCTGTCCATCATTTTACATGGTGTTGTCAGGGTGGGACTCATTGAGAAGGTGTCACCTGAGTGGAAATTTTATTTTACTTTTTAAATGCTGAAGCATCTTAGAATTCTTTGGACTAACTTAGTTTTAATAAAATTTTCTTTTGAAATAATTTTAGATTTACAGAAGAGTTGCAAAGACAGTGTAGAGAGTTTCCATATACCCTTCACCCAGATGTTCCCTATGTTAACAGCATACTCAACCAAGGTACACTGATCAAAACTCAGAAATGGGACTTCCCTGGTGGTCCAGTGGTAAAGAATCTGCCTTCCATTTTTCACAGACTGAGAACAAAAAATTTCACAATTTGTATGGAAACACAAAAGACCCCGAATAGCCAAAGCAATCTTGAGAAAGAAAAACGGAGCTGGAGGAAACTGGCTCCCGGACTTCAGACTATACAACAAAGCTATGGTAATCAAGACAGTACGGTACTGGCACAAAAAGAGACATATAGATCAATGGAACAGGATAGAAAGCCCAGAGATAAACCCACGCACATATGGTCACCTTATCTTTGATAAAGGAGGCAAGAATATACAGTGGAGAAAAGACAGCCTCTTCAATAAGTGGTGCTGGGAAAACTGGACAGCTACATGTAAAAGAATGAAATTAGAACACTCCCTAACACCATACACAAAAATAAACTCAAAACGGATTAAAGACCTAAATGTAAGGCCAGACACTATCAAACTCTTAGAGGAAAACATAGGCAGAACACTCTATGACATAAATCACAGCAAGATCCTTTTTGACCCACCTCCTAGAGAAATGGAAATAAAAACAAAAATAAACAAATGGGACCTAATGAAAGGTAAAAGCTTTTGCAAAGGAAACCATAAACAAGATGAAAGGACAAGCCTCAGAATGGTAGAAAATATTTGCAAATGAAGCAACTGACAAAGGATTAATCTCCAAAATTTACAAGCAGCTCATGCAGCTCAATATCAAAAAAACAAACAACCTAATCCAAAAATGGGCGGAAGACCTAAATAGACATTTCTCCAAAGAAGATATACAGATTGCCAACAAACACATGAAAGAATGCGCAACATCATTAATCATTAGAGAAATGCAAATCAAAACTACAATGCGATATCATCTCACAGCGGTCAGAATGGCCATCATCAAAAGATCTACAAACAATAAATGCTGGAGAGGGTGTGGAGAAAAGGGAACCCTCATACACTGCTGGTGGGAATGTAAATGGATACAGCCACTATGGAGAAAAGTATGCAGGTTCCTTAAAAAACTAAAAATAGAACTACCATTCGAGCCAGCAATTCCACTACTGGGTATATACCCTGAGAAAGCGATAATTCAAAAAGAGTCATGTACCACAACGTTCACTGCAGCTCTACTTAAAATAGCCAGAACATGGAAGCAACCTAAGCGCCCAGCGACAGATGAATAGATAAAGAAGATGTGGCACATATATACAATGGAATATTACTCAGCCATAAAAAGAAACGAAATTGAGCTATTTGTAATGAGGTGGATAGATCTAGAGTCTGTCATACAGAGTGAAGTAAGTCAGAAAGAGAAGGACAAATACCGTATGCTAACACATATATATGGAATTTAAAAAAAAAAAAAAAAAAAAAAAAAAAAGGTCGTGAAGAACCTAGGGGCAAAACGGGAATAAACATGCAGACCTACTAGAGAATGGACTTGAGGACACGGGGAGGCGGAAGGGTAAGCTGAGACAAAGTGAGAGAGTGGCATGGACATATATACACTACCAAATGTGAAATAGATAGCTAGTGGGAAGCTGTAGCATAGCATAGGGAAATCAGCTTGGTGCTTTGTGACCAGCTAGAAGGGTGGGATAGGGAGGGTGGGAGGGAGGGAGACACAAGAGGGAAGAGATATGGGGATATATGTATATGTATAACTGATTCACTTTGTTATAAAGCAGAAACTAACACACCATTGTAAAGCAATTGTACTCCAATAAAAACGTGAAAAAAAAGAAAAAAAAGAATCCGCCTTCCAGTGCAGGGACACAGGTTTAATCCCTGGTCAGGGAACTAAGATCCCACATGCCACGGGGCAACTAAGCCCATGATCCACAACTGCTGAGCTCACCCGCCTCAACTAGAGACCCTGCGTGCCGGAAAACTACAGAGCCTGCACGCTCTGGAACCTGCATGCTGCAACTAGGAAGAGAAAACCCGCATGCCACAACCAGAGAGAAGCCCGCGCACCACAACAAAAGAGCACGCATGCCTCAATGAAGATCCCGCGTGCCGCAACTAAGACTTGACGCAGCCAAAAATAAATTAAATAAATAAATCTTTAAAATAAGAAACAAAACTAGGGACTTAACACTGATACAAAACTAACAGTGGAACTACAGACTTTATTCAAATTTCACATTTTCCACTAACATCCTTTTCTGTTCTGGGATCCAATCCAGGATCCCATATTGCATTTAGAATTAACTCATTTTGGCCATACATATTTACTAAGTGCCCACTGTTCTAGGTATTTGGCTTATGTCAGTGAATAGAAGAGACCAAAAAAAATTTTTTTTCACTAATTTTTTTTAAGAAACAGCCCTGCCCTTGTGGTTGCCCTGTGGAGTTTACCTTGAAGCAGAGGAGGAAGACAACATAGTAAATAATTCCATGGTATGTTAAAGATGATACACACTACAGGAGAAAACAGAACAGGGTAAAGTGGTTTGCGAGTGCCGTGGGGGAAGGCTGTAGTTTTAAACAAGGCACGTAAGGCATACCTCCTTCGGAAGGCAGTGCCTGAGCAGGTTTGGATTTACTCTTTATGCTGCCAGGTTCTGTTAGCTAGTTTGTTTTAGGGTAGTTGAATCAATGTTCTTCAATGTTACTGGCCTATGAGTGACATCCTCATCTGACTTTAGTATCAGTCTCATTCTAGCCTTGTCCATCCATTTTATTCCACAAATACTTATTGTGCATCTATTTCTGGGTGATGTGGTAGAACTCACTAATAAAAGCAACTGGGCTCAGTGTATTTTTACCGGTAGATCTTTAAATATTTTTTTGAAAAACATCTTATACTCAGGAATGTACACACTGACCAAATTTTATCTCCATTTTTCAAGAAAATCACCTACAATGTCCAAGTTTCCAAACGTATTGTAATAGAATCGTA